GTATGCCTGGCACGTCCTTGCTCATCTCCAGCTGGAGGCTGGGAAGGACGTGCTCCGCTGCTGGCCAGTTTGACATGTCTAAGGACAAAGCTGATTGGGAAGGTCTGCACTGTCTGCACTCTTTTGTCGAGCAGGACATCTTGAAGATCTTGGAGCTGTCGATGCCCTCAATGCCCTCATTGCCCTCCTGTCGCATATGTACCAGACGTCGCTCTTTACCAGTTTTGCGACGGACGCGCTCCGCATGCTCATCATGCTCAACTGCTGGCCACTCTGACATGTCCGACATGTCTGCCACGGTGGAATTGGAAGATTTGGACGGTATGGAAGCTCTTCTGGAGTGCTTCAAAAGCTGCACTGCTGGCCACTCTGACGTGTCTGACAAGGTGGATTTGGAAGGTATGGAAGTTCTGTAGCGCATGGCGTGCCTTCCCTGCCTGCCGCGATCGGCATGCTTGGTATGCTTGGTACGCTTCATATCAAACATCTTCGAGCATGTCGAGCCACTCATGCCAGTCGAGCCCTCAAAGGGCTCCATGGGCTCCGCAGATGCGCAGGATGCATGGGACACTTCCTCACAAGCCCAAGGATCCACATGATCCATGTGTTCCACTCTGCCATCTTTGCCATCCGAAGCAGAACAATCCATGCTGTGCTGCGATAGCTGTGTGTGTTCAACGTACCGTTTATACCCTTCTCTATGATGAGAAATATGTGATGTGTAAGATAGGCCGTGTACGCCATTTGACGCATTTTACACCCAATATGCCCAATACGCCCACCGGCTTCACATGCTTCAGTACGTCGAGTATGTCGAGCGTCGGATGTTTGCCCTATGCTGCACAAGATGCACCACCTGCAAGGCCTCCTAATCCTGATTTTGCATCATAAGCATCCTCTGTATTCAGTGCATTCTCTGTCGGAGCCACGGGCCATATGCGCTTTCTTGGAAATGACAGAGGTTTGCGGAAGGAGGCCCTGTGAAGGAGAACGTGCTAAATACTAAACACCTGAATCTGGGCGGTATCTGATCGTCTTCGATCCCCTAACTTTCGTTCTAGACCAATGAAAACATTCTTGGCAAATGCTTTCGCAGTAGTCCGTCTTTACCAAATCCAAGAATTTCATCTCTGACAGTGAAATAGGAATGCCCCCAACAATCCATGTCGACCATGACCTGAGCTCTAAAAGCCAACAAAATAGAACTGAGGTCCTATCTTTTTATTCCATGCGACTGTAACAAAGGCAATCGCATATAATATCGCACCTGCTTGAGACACTCTAATTTCCTCCAGATAAATGTCCGACATACCGCACCACACAATGAAGCGCAGACACGTTCTTTAGCAACATGTCAAGCCTCAGGCTGAGCATGCTGAGCCAGATGCACACCCAGAAGGCGGAGCGGTCATCCATGTCATCCTCTGCAGAAATCCAACTACGAGCTTATCAACGGTGCTGAAGGAGTCGTATATGTCGTAGAGGTAACGACCTCCACTCTCTAGTTGGCATAGTTTATGGTTGAGAGTAGGGCGGTATCTGATCGTCTTCGCTCCCCTAACTTTCGTTCTTGACCAATGAAAACATTCTTGGCAAATGCTTTCGCAGTAGTCCGTCTTTACCAAATCCAAGAATTTCATCTCTGACAGTGAAATAGGAATGCCCCCAACAATCCATGTCGACCATGACCTGAGCTCTAAAAGCCAACAAAATAGAACTGAGGTCCTATCTTTTTATTCCATGCGACTGTAACAAAGGCAATCGCATATAATATCGCACCTGCTTGAGACACTCTAATTTCCTCCAGATAAATGTCCGACATACCGCACCACACAATGAAGCGCAGACACGTTCTTTAGCAACATGTCAAGCCTCAGGCTGAGCATGCTGAGCCAGATGCACACCCAGAAGGCGGAGCGGTCATCCATGTCATCCTCTGCAGAAATCCAACTACGAGCTTATCAACGGTGCTGAAGGAGTCGTATATGTCGTAGAGGTAACGACCTCCACTCTCTAGTTGGCATAGTTTATGGTTGAGAGTAGGGCGGTATCTGATCGTCTTCGCTCCCCTAACTTTCGTTCTTGACCAATGAAAACATTCTTGGCAAATGCTTTCGCAGTATTCCGTCTCTACCAAATCCTAGAAGTTGATCTCTGACAGTTTAATAGGAATGCCCCCAACAATCCATGTCGACCATGACCTGAGCTCTAAAAGCCAACACAATAGAACTGAGGTCCTATCTTCTTATTCCATGCAACTGTAACCAAGGCAATCGCATCCAATGTCGCACCATGTTCACTTTGCAAAGGCTGCGTATGTAAGCCGCTCTCACCCTACTGCCAGTCTGAGGCTAAGAGTCTACGGAGCATTCCTCACAGATTTCTGCTTCTCAATATGTTCCAGAATGGTGCAGTAGCCTACACTTACAAGCGTGAACGACGGCTCGACGGTCTGTGTCGGAGCTTGAGCACTGCAAAAACTAGTTGCACGGTGGCCAAATTCAACGGACGGACAAAGACATCAGAACAACCCAGCAAGCAGCGCTGCACTCTGACCAAACAATGGAAGAAGCTGGCCTGCTTCGCGACGAATGCGACGACGGATGAGGATGATGAGGTGACCTGAGACACATTGGCTCATCTGAGGGTCTGAACATGCTATCGGCCACCCAGATCCTGACCACCAGAGTGACTAGTAAGCCCACCCCGTACAACGCAGTGTGCCGTGGCATCAGTCATGGCAGCCGTGCACCAGTGATGTCATGCCGGTATTGCCTTAGCAGCATCTAGAAGCATGCACAACATGCGCAAGACACCACCTAGCGCTTGCCCAAACTCGAAATCGGATCACCCTCCTCACTTCGTCGTGGGTGCATGAGATTGGAACACCCTGCAAAGACATCAGGATTACCTGCCTCCAGCTCTATCGCCTGCCTCTGAACAACCCTTTCCCTTCCTTCTTCACTCTCTTGCACAGATTGTGGTCACCGCGGTCATGCGAGAATGGCTGCATCAGCGCAAAGTAGTATAGCGATATTTGTTCGGCCATGGACAGCTCGTCTGGGTCGGGATTTTGATTAAGATACCATTATTCTTGCGGAACAAAGAATAATGGTCAGTACCTTGAACTTTATTTAGACCCTACCCAAACCGCATGTCTTTCTATTTAGTGCAGTAAAATATAGATTTCGATCCACAGATGTAACCCCTAGGGACTCCTTCGGACACCGCAAGTGTGGTTCAGCTAAACCCTAATTTCTGGTCACTACACAGATACCCCAAGACAGCTGGCTAAATCCACAGAAAGCCAGAAACCAATGCTGGGGGACACTTTCGGGCCCCCAAAGTGTCCCTGAGCATACCTTTACCTTCAAGGGCTTGGCTACATCCCACAACCCGGGGCCCTCTAATTTCCTTAAGGTAAATGTCCGACATACCGCGCATACCGCACCACACAAGGAAGCGCAGACACGTTCTTTAGCAAGCAAGATGTCAGGCTTCGGGCTGAGCCGGATGCACGCCCAGAAGGCGGAGGTATTAGGTTTTAGAACAGCTTGAGTATATATTCGAGTGTAGGATTCAAATGATTCAATACTTGGGGAAGATGTAGGGTTAGGACTTGTATCTGCGCGCAGGCTTCCTGAATCCTTGGCTCCAGAATCTTTGTGTTTGTGGCTTTTGGTTTGATTTGAGGAAGGCACTTGGGATTCTGGTGTCAGGTCTTCGGACGAACCCATCTAGAAGCCCAGACAACCCCATAAGACTTGCACATGAAGCAACGCTTTTGTCGAAATACCCCTCCAAGGCACATACCCTGCAAACAAAGTTTGGGCTACGGTTCCTTTCAAGACTCCAACCCTGGACAACTGTCCCAAGCTTTGGGCTTTCGTACCGTGCTCCACGAGAAGACTGGATCGGTGGCGACCTGTTGTGTGCTTTAGGGTTTCTTCGGGCTCATGGTTTGGAGGCTTTTATGTACAGGTTTCGAGCTTTCGTGAAACGACTGAGCAAAGTGTGAAAGCCTACAACCCTACAATTTCGGAAGTCGCATCGCATACCTACAAAGCAAAATCTTTATGAAGCTGTTCTATCCTTGGAGGCTACCCTCTATTTCTCAAGGCCCGTGTAGCAGGGCTTCGGTGGGGAAGTGTCGGGCGTTCGGGATCCCCTGAACCGTACATCTTAAGAAGGTTTAGGTTCAGTGGTTGGGCTCCAGAATAGCGAGCTTAGTGCAAAGATTGAAGATGAGGCCGCATATGCCGCATGCTCTCCGAAATCTTAAGCCCCAAATTAGCTTCAGGGTTTCGGGTTTAAGGTTTCTGCAATGCATCCCCCTAAAAACCCATCACTCGTAAACTAGGCCCCTGAACCAACATGAAGAATCCGGATCTCTAGTTAAGACAATCATCATCAGTAAAACAAGGAAGTCCAATTCCTCCGGCTTAAATAACCCTGAACTAAGAAAATACCCTAAGCCTAAACCCGTATAGAATAAAACCCTGATAATTCCCTGCGAACCGTTGAATTGTCCCACACACACCCTGCCGCGCTCTCTGCCTTGATGCTCCTTAAAGGCAGGCTCCCTTGAAGCTCCATGTCAATCATCCCATTGGGTGACACCGCTCAAAGCAAGGCTTCAGTGGCTTCATTCAAATTGAAACTCCTCCTCACCCGAACTGGGTCACACTGCACTCATAAATATTCACAAGTTCAAAGCGAGGCTTCCTTGAAGCTTTTACCCCTGGGACAGAAAAAGTCGGACATTGAAATATAGACTACAATGTCCAAGCCAGGTGCGACGCTTATGAAGGAAACGCCTGGCAAGCCCCGGCTGCCCTACATTGGCCACGGCTCAGAGCTCCACCGTCTACGGCAAACAGTAACAGTTACAGCTTCTCCCAGATACGTTGAAATTAACTGAAAACCACAGAATGCAGGGCAGCAACCCAAGTGTCTCTACCCACTACACGTCTGTCTTGCTCGTGTTCTTTGTCCTTGTCTTATCTTCTCTTCGATGTCTTCGTCGCCTTCGTCGCCTTCGTCGTCTTCGTCGTCGTCTTCGTCGCCCGGCGCACTCGAGGAAGTTTTAGTGCATCAGAGTCAGAAACGCCGAAAAGAAGATTGACGAACTTCATGTCGTCTCCGTCCGTTGTCCGCCGCCCGGCATACAAGGAGATCATACCGGCCCGGAGGAGTTGCTGAGAAGTGTGTCCCTGACAGAGGCTAGGGCTAGGGTATTCAGATGCGAGTTTAAGTCAGGAGTTTCGACTTTACTTTAAATGCGATATTCTGCTTTGCCTCGGTAGCCTGCTGGAGTATCTTCAGGGCATCGGCTTCGATCTTGGGAGCAGCTTTGCCGGGGCCGACAATATCCTGCAGGACTTCCTGCCAGAAACAAATTATATATCTCAACTCGGAACAGGTTCAGAGGTGCGACTGTGTCTAAAGTGTACTGGTCCCTGCATATGTGTGCAGATTGCCCCAAGACAGGCCTTGACCAGCTTTGCAAACGGTTTTTCCGGAATCATGGGATGGGGATTTGCACGTAGAATCTTGGTCTGCTCCTCCATCGATCTGCTTTGGCCCCCATACCGCCCAGCATATGGCTTTGCAGAGACCAGTCCCTGTTACGGGGCTGAAGATGCTGAAAATGCAGGGCATGAGCCGCAAACCTATGTGGTCCGAAAAACACAACCCCGTGCCTTGGCCTTTCCACTGCTCTTGCAAGCACACTTCGACTTGCCCATTGCCACGTGGTGAGGGCGGGACGACTTTCAAAACAAAACAACTCGAACACGGCTATGGCAGAGACCGGTCCTCGCTTGGCAACAAACTCAACATGCCAAGCCACTCTGTAGCAGTTCAGCATTGGAGATGGGTCCAAATAAACAAGTCAGGTTCACCCGTCCGTCTGAGCCACGAAGCTGGGCACCAGCACAAGGTGATAGCCTTTGAGTATTTGTTTCAGGTGGTGCACCGGCAGTGCACGATGAATTTGTGCTATGATACACCTAAATCATGCCCGCCTCTACATGTCCGGCCCTGGCAAACGCATCCTAACCATTCTTCCGGATATGTTGGCTTTCTGTGCTAAGATTGCTAAGTTGGCCTGGCTGCGACTGGTTACACGAATGCCACAGCTGCTTTGGCTTCGGGGAAGTTCATAAAAAGGATTCCTGGTTCAAGGACTGGTCTGGGCTGCACTGAGGATGCATTTTGTGGTAGCCGCTACATCCGCTACATGCATGCAGGCCTTCCGCTTGCTCAGGAGCTGGTTTTTGGCTGCCATATCCAAGAGGTTTGGCTTCCTTTGGAAGCCTCCAAAGCATCGGGAAAGGCCTGGATGCGTGTTCCGGGGCCCGAAAAATGCATCCAGACAGTCTTGGACCAAACCCGTCCACCAACAGCCCAGCTTTACTGTCCAGGCAAAGCATGTTGCCTAAGAAATCCTAAGAAGCCACCACAGCATCCGAAAAGGCCTGGATGCGTGTTCCGGGGCCCGAAGAATGCATCCCGACAGGTGCCAGCCCAAACCCGCGCATCAGCAATCCAGGTTTGCTTAGAAGCCTCCAACGCCTCAGGAAAGGCTTGGATCGATGGCTTGGATGCGTGTTCCAGGGCCCGAAAAACGCATCCAAACATCTCAGCCCAAACTCGTGAACCAGCAATCCAGCCTTACTTGCGTGCCGAACGACGTGTCAGGAAAGGCCTGGATGCGTATTCGAGGGCCCGAAACATGCATCCACACATGTGCCAACCACAACCAGTCCAGCAGCAAGTCCGGTTTACTTTCAAGCCACGGCAACTTGCCCCACAAGCTCCCAAAGATTAGGGAAAGGCCTGGATGCGTGTTCCGAGGCCCCAAAAATGCATCCAGACATGTGCCAGCCAAAACCCGTCCAGCAGCAATGCGGCTTTACTTTCCTGCCAAACCAAATTCTTTTAGAATCCCCCAAGCCCTCAGGAAAGATCTGAGTGCGTGTTCCGGGGGCCGAAACATGCATCCAGGCGCCTGCGAACCGAAATGAATCCGGACAGCAGCAACCCAGGTCTACCTTCCAGCCAAAGCAATTTGCTCTGGAAGCCTCCAAAGCATCGGGAAAGGCCTGGATGCGTGTTCCGGGGCCCGAAAAATGCATCCAGACAGTCTTGGACCAAACCCGTCCACCAACAGCCCAGCTTTACTGTCCAGGCAAAGCATGTTGCCTAAGAAATCCTAAGAAGCCACCACAGCATCGGGAAAGGCCTGGATGCGTGTTCCGGGGCCCGAAGAATGCATCCCGACAGGTGCCAGCCCAAACCCGCGCATCAGCAATCCAGGTTTGCTTAGAAGCCTCCAACGCCTCAGGAAAGGCTTGGATCGATGGCTTGGATGCGTGTTCCAGGGCCCGAAAAACGCATCCAAACATCTCAGCCCAAACTCGTGAACCAGCAATCCAGCCTTACTTGCGTGCCGAACGACGTGTCAGGAAAGGCCTGGATGCGTATTCGAGGGCCCGAAACATGCATCCACACATGTGCCAACCACAACCAGTCCAGCAGCAAGTCCGGTTTACTTTCAAGCCACGGCAACTTGCCCCACAAGCTCCCAAAGCTTAGGGAAAGGCCTGGATGCGTGTTCCGAGGCCCCAAAAATGCATCCAGACATGTGCCAGCCAAAACCCGTCCAGCAGCAATGCGGCTTTACTTTCCTGCCAAACCAAATTCTTTTAGAATCCCCCAAGCCCTCAGGAAAGATCTGAGTGCGTGTTCCGGGGGCCGAAACATGCATCCAGGCGCCTGCGAACCGAAATGAATCCGGACAGCATTTGCTCTGGAAGCCTCCAAAGCATCGGGAAAGGCCTGGATGCGTGTTCCGGGGCCCGAAAAATGCATCCAGACAGTCTTGGACCAAACCCGTCCACCAACAGCCCAGCTTTACTGTCCAGGCAAAGCATGTTGCCTAAGAAATCCTAAGAAGCCACCACAGCATCCGAAAAGGCCTGGATGCGTGTTCCGGGGCCCGAAGAATGCATCCCGACAGGTGCCAGCCCAAACCAACCAGTAGCCTCAAAGCCCTATTCAAAATCAGAAGGCTGTACAGGAAGGTGTATGGCTCAAGTAACCTCAGGCCCCATTGGGCGAGGTAGCGGCTGAGCGACCTTCATAACTAACTCACTTAGCTCAGTTGGCGGCCAAGAAGAAAAGGAGACCGTGCAGCTGCAAACCAAAGTAGCTGCAAAACAGGTGTGTCAAGCAGGTTTACACTATTGCAGTGCAAACAGAGGGATGGGCAGCAGGGTACACACCTGCACACACTGCACACTCTTGCACGGAAGGCCCCCCCTCCCCTGTTGACTACACGTACCCTGTACTGGCCCTGCACAGGCTTCAAGAGTACGAGCCTCAGCCCAGCTGGCGAGACGCGGTCCTGCTTCTTAAAGGCACCTGAAGAGATTGAGCACCTGCCAAATAGCTCTCAAAGCAAAGGCTCAAAGCAAGGCTGGACACTCGGGCTGAGCGGACCGAGGGTCCTGCAGAAAGCGGGGCTCCTGAGCACCGCAAGCCTGCCAGAGCACGGAGAAGCGGAAGCAGGCAGGCTACGAAGCAAAGGCGATGCTGAAGTACAAGGCTCGAAACCATTTTGCAGAGCAACAAGGCTGTCACGGCCTGCTGCGGGACCTTTGGTCCAGGTCAGTGCCCAGGCTGAGCTGCACCCTGCCACAGCCTCGGGCCCTCAGCCCTAAGGCGAGGGCCCAGGAGGCAGTGAAAAGCAAAAGTTCAGGCGGCCTTCCACTCGACGGCCAGGGCAGCTTGACTCACCTGGTAGGCTAGTCACCAAGGAAAACTCCCTGCTGTAGCAGGCACCACTTGTAGTGCTGCGTAAGGAGTGGTCGTAGCCGTTGCAGCACCTCCTCAGGCGAGGCGTTGCTGACAAGCTGGAGTAGCTCCTGAAAGTGGTCTGGGACACTCCTCTTGACCGCGCTCCAGAAAGCCGAGGCACGCTGTCTGTTCGGCCAGTGTGCCCTTTGACCCTCCCATGGAAGCCAGTCTGCGGTGTCCCACATCATAATGAAGCCACGGGCATCAACACCAAAGTTGAAAAAGCCAAGATCCTTGAGATTGTAGAAACGGGAGGCCTCCGCAGTCAATGCCATCATGTAGCGGACCATATCAAGGTCCGGCGGAGCTGGCCTCCACACCGAAAGTGGAGTGAGCCTAGACTGCCTCAAAACATGCGTGGGGATGATATCATAGCAGCTCTTCCAAAAAAGCGTGAGCAGGTGAATACCCGCATCCAAAGTGCACGGCACTATATAAGGGAGCAGTCTCCAAACTTCCGGTTCTGGCCCGTGGCCTTGTGGTGGCGCCAACTTCAGAACGTGTTCCGAGGAGCCAGGGTCAACGTAAACTGTCCGGGACTTTCCGAAACCCAGCCGTCTCGCTCGAGCAGCTTTTGTTCGCCCACCTGTGACAAAGTCATGGTAAACTTCAAGGCTTTCCGGAAGGCACTGGTAGTGGTTCACCGGATGCTTCACCTGGGGCGCAGCCACACATAAGAAAGTGATTAGGCCATCCTCATGAAGAAGAGGGCCAAAGTCACTTGGGCGATCTTTCAGCGCGACTGCAGGCTGTGGTGTCTCACTGCTGTCAGATTGAAGACAGTTGCTGGAGTCGTCCTGGTCCACCGGTGGCTCTTCAGCTTCTGGAAGTCGTTGCAAAGGCAAGCCTTGGCTGCTGGATGCAGCAGCAGTAGGGGGTGGAGCCCTCAGCCCTAAAGGCGAGGGCTCCTCCCGTGCTGGGCCCCGGCTGCTGGAAGCAGCCGCAGTGGAGGGAGCCCTCAGCCCTGAAGGCGAGGGCTCCTCCGAGTCGTACGGCGGCTCTTCATCTTCACGATGTCTCGCCTTCGCACGAGGTCCTGGTGGAGGTGATGGGGGCGGCCAAGCCTCCTCAGTTCTCCTGCCAGCGTGCTCATTTTGTGCGCGGCGCTTCTTCTGTTTGCGGGCTTTCTTACGTCCCCGCTGTCGGTCTATCGTCGCCGCTGATTTCCATGATAATCCCCGCTCCTCACGGCGGAGTTGCGTGGATATGTGCCGCCCTTCTTGCTTAGGCGCCATGCTTAGCAGGCCTTGGGCCTAAAAGCGAAGGGTGCGCTGTGTTGGGTCACGTGTTCCAGGGCCCGAAAAACGCATCCAAACATCTCAGCCCAAACTCGTGAACCAGCAATCCAGCCTTACTTGCGTGCCGAACGACGTGTCAGGAAAGGCCTGGATGCGTATTCGAGGGCCCGAAAAATGCATCCTGCAATAAGCAACCAGGACCAGCATGAGGAAATCAGGAATGTTTACTTTGTCTTGGCTTTTAGGGTTTTAGCTTCGGGCTTTGGGGAGTAGGATCCCTGAACCCTAGACCCTATATCCTGAGCCCTTAGCCCTAAACCCCAAACCTTAAGCTCTAAACCCTAAGCCGTAAGCCCTGAACCTTATAAGGCCCAAACCCTTGCCCAAACCCCAATCCCAAACCCCAGGCCCTAAACCCCAGCCGCAGACGGAATGTGCAGCTTGAGCTCCGGGCTGGCAATGCCAGAGGCGGGCAGTCGCAACCAATTCGCACCTCGGTTTTTTCCAATTCGCACCCCAAGCCGCACCCTTTCAACTAGGACCCAGGTTTAGCTCCAAGGAGGGTTTCAGGCTCTGGGCTTCTGCTTGCACTGGCATGCTGTCCTCCGGCAACTCGGCACAACCCCACAGGAACAAAGCAGAGCAGTCTCAAGACCCCGAATCCAACCCGGTCTCGAGTCCCTCACAGCCAAGGACGTGGGAGGAATCGGCCGACCTTATTAGAAAGCCCGGGTGGCTCCAGAGTCAGGGGGGAGTTCATGAGGGAAGCTTGGAGCCTTAGGTTCTGCCATCTTAGTTCAGGTAACCCAATAAGAATTAAGGTTGTCTGGCCTAGCATCCTCCTACAGGACAGATGTGGTTGGGGCAGGGACATGGGAGAGCCTTCTCGAAAGCCTTAAGGTGAAAACCTAGACCCTCACCCGAACACATCAGCACAGCAGAAAAAATGGAAAACCTGTCCGGAAGCCCGCTTTGCAGCCTCAAAGGCAAAAGCTCATGCTTCTGCAATCTCAACTTTACTTGGAGGATCATAGGACTTAGTAAGTAAGGTTATAAGTACCTTGATTGGGAAGATAAGTAGTTATATCAGTATAGTTACCCGAATTATAACCCTCCCATGATCCTTTAAGTATGGTTCATGCTTTCGAGGTCTGGGAGCAATCCTAATTTCTACTAAGCTTAAACCCGCAAGCCTAGAAGCAGTACCCTAACTACCCTAAATCGTGAGCCCGCAGCCCTGAATCGTAGACACCCGAAGGCCTACAGACTAAACCCCTGAAGAGCCAAGCCTACAGCCTAAACCCTAAACCCGACTTCGGAACGAATTGCATGCACGATGTTCTTCGCCAGCATGTGCCGAAGGGCACTCAGTTCCAAGGCCGCTCGTGAAGACGTACCGGTGCCGCTTGCGGCTGGTACTGTCCGCGGCTTCGTGCTGCACGCCTCGGCCACCTTCTTGTTGGTCGACACAGCTCTTTTTTTAATTCGCAAAGAGCACGACCTGGGCCCTGTCGTTGGCTGCGGTGCCTTGGTTGCCGGCTGCTTTGCCAGCGGGCATAGCGGGCTTGCCGAGGGGCTCACCTTCTTGTTGGTCGACGCAGCTCTTTTTTGAATTCGCAAAGAGCACGACCTGGGCCCTGTCGTTGGCTGCGGTGCCTTGGTTGCCGGCTGCTTTGCCAGCGGGCTTGCCGAGGGGCTTATGCTTGCCGGCCTTGCCGGCAAAAACACCAAACCAGGGGTTTCGGGGCTCACACTCGGACAAACATGGACAAACCAGGCGAGGCATATGAGTTCGAGTCTGCAAAGTGAAACGACACTAAGAGGCTTCGTGGTTTAGGGTTTAGGGATCCCCAGCACTAGCTAAACCCCAACTCCCTAACCCTTAAGTCCCTAGAACCCAAAAAAAACACAAAAGCAGGGGTTTAGGGTTTAGGGCTCACCTACACTACCTAAACCCCAAATCCCTAATATCCCTAAACCCTTAAGTCCCTAAAACCCAAAAAAACAACACAAAAGCAGGGGTTTAGGGTCTAGGGATCCCCTACACTACCTAAACCCCAAATCCCTTAACCCTTCAGAACAAAAGGATCCCTTTTCAAAAAACAAACGAACACCCCCCTAAACTCACTCCCCTAAACCCCCGCAACCCCTAAACTGAACCCCCTAAATCCACTGAAAGCAGACAACCCCCTAAACACTAAAGCCAGGAACACCCTAGACCCCCTCGATCCCCTACCTGAACGTCAAATCCGAAAGTCACTAAAACCACAAAAAAAAACCCTAAACCCTAAAGCCCTAATCCCTTTCCTCCCTAGACCCCCTAGACTCCAAAGACATCCGGACCCCCAAAAGCAGACAACCCCCTAAATCCACTGAAAGCAGACAACCCCCTAAACACTAAAGCCAGGAACACCCTAGACCCCCTCGATCCCCTACCTGAACGTCAAATCCGAAAGTCACTAAAACCACAAAAAAAACCCTAAACCCTAAAGCCCTAATCCCTTTCCTCCCTAGACCCCCTAGACTCCAAAGACATCCGGACCCCCAAAAGCAGACAACCCCTTAAATCCCAAAGCACTACAGCCTACAGCCGTGTTCCCCCTACAGTAGAAGCCAGAAAGTTGGAACATGACTTTAGGAGGATTAGTGCTAGGATCCCTTGTACTTTACCTTAAGGGCATGAGGGCAGTGATGTTCCAACTTGGTGGCTTCTACTGTAGACCCCCTCAGCCCCCACATCTTCTAATTCTCCTAAATCCCATAAAAGCAGACAGCCCGACAACCCCGTAAACCCCAAAGCTCTCCTTAGCCTAAGACCCGTTTATGCTTTAGGGTTGAGGTTTAGGGTGCAGGCTGATACCTTGGGGGTCCTCTGTGTCGCCTGGGATGGTCTCCTACGCCTGGATTTGGGAATAAGGGCGGGGTTAAGGTTCTGGATCTAGGGTATCTGTTACCCTTTAGCCTTATCCTAAACCGCCGCCTTAAATCTTAGAAACTATTAGAAACCGAATCCCTGGCTCCGGAGCCCCCGGCTGTAGATGCCCAGGCAAAGGTCAGCAGCTCCGCCGCCCAGCTGCTCGGGAGCCTAGAGGCCAAGGGGAGAAGCAATTTCAGGGCTGTTACAATGAGAGTGGCGGGCAACTCTGCTTAGCCAGCATGAATTCCGACTTAGAGGCCTTCACTCGTAATCCAACAGATGATAGCTTCGTGGTATTAGGGTGTATTTATATAATACATCTAGATATTTCATGCGGCGCACTAGCAGCCGCCCTACACTACACCCCAGCCTACCTGCCCCACACTACTTCCTAGCTGCTCTTACCCTACCTGTCTACGCGGCGCACTAACAGCCTAGGGTAGCTTAGGGTTTATTTATATAATACATCTAGATATTTCATGCGGCGCACTAGCAGCCGCCCTACACTACACCCCAGCCTACCTGCCCCACACTACTTATACTACTTCCTAGCTGCTCTTACCCTACCTGTCTACGCGGCGCACTAACAGCCGCCCTAGCTGGAAAACTACCTGCCCTACGCGGCGCACTAGCAGCCGCCCTACTTCCTAGCCTGCTACCTACCCTAGCCTACCTATACCAAGCTTTACGTGCTTGTGCAAAGTTTGCAAGAACTGAAGACTGAAGTAGTTACGAACCCAGGCCGAGATCACGGCCACCAAAGAAGACCAGACCTGAGTGGAAGGAGGGGGGCGAGGACAGGGCAGCAGGAGGCGGGGAGGAGCTCGGAAAGGAAAGACGCTCATTTTGCTCGGAACTGCTCTTAATCAGGCTCGTGAGCTGTGAGTCGTCCAAATTCGACGTCACAAACTCAAAGAAGTTGCATGCAAGGTGGGCGCCGGCCATGCGCCCTGGAGCAAATTAAGCTGAAAACTGCAAGCCACGTCGAAGCTCCCATTGCTCTTGCTTCAGCTGCCGCAGGCGACTCACCATGGACGCTCGGGCATCCATCAGGTCTTGGAACGTCCGGATCTCACCAGGCACCGCGGCAACGTAGTCAGAGCAATGGACCATCTCGCAAAAGCAGTGCAGAATCTCCACGACGTCCTCGAACATCTGGCCTCGGAGTGGAAATTGCGTGTACAGCCAACACTCCAAAAAGCGGTGCGACACGTCCTGGCTGAAGCCGACTCTGCGCCACCAGGCTGGTGCCAAAAGACGCACGACCGCGGCCGGTGTGTATACGCCCCAGCGAGATGACCCTGGGAGCACCGCCTCCGCTTCGTCGTGGAACTTCAAATGCATGGCATTGCGGCGGTTCTTGTAGTAGCCATCATCCGTGGTGTGGAAGCGGTCCATCTCGCCCTCGAATTGGGGCCCCCAGGTCGCAGCGAAGTGAACGAGCAGCCACCAGAGCTTGTTGCAGCTCTCCAGACCGCCGCAGTATATGGAGTCCATGGCTGCAACGCCTTCAGCGTGGCAACTAGGCTTGAGCATGCAGCAGCTGCCATGCACACTCATCATCAGAGGAGGAGGGGATGGAGCTCTGACCTCGGACCTCTGACCTCGCGACCTCGGAAGGAAAGCACACCTCCACTCCTGGCCCTATCACAGTGCCCAAGCCAGCGATGGGCCCTATCACAGTGCCCATCGCTCTCTATCTTATCGGAGTCCTGACCTGCGCATGGGCCCTATCACAGTGCCCAAAAGCCCTAATCCCTTTCCTCCCTAGACCCCCTAGACTCCAAAGACATCCGGACCCCCAAAAGCAGACAACCCCTTAAATCCCAAAGCACTACAGCCTACAGCCGTGTTCCCCCTACAGTAGAAGCCAGAAAGTTGGAACATGACTTTAGGAGGATTAGTGCTAGGATCCCTTGTACTTTACCTTAAGGGCATGAGGGCAGTGATGTTCCAACTTGGTGGCTTCTACTGTAGACCCCCTCAGCCCCCACATCTTCTAATTCTCCTAAATCCCATAAAAGCAGACAGCCCGACAACCCTGTAAACCCCAAAGCTCTCCTTAGCCTAAGACCCGTTT